ATTTTTCCATTCCAAGTGGGGTCTTCTGAATGTTGCTGCAAAACTGCCTCATTATTCCTTGCAGAATGATGTGGGTCTGAAGATATTTATTTCTTATGGCACTGTGGAAGAACTCGGTCAAGGCGATTCAACAAATAATCTTCATCTCAATATGCGTGACATGGTAAGCAACTTACAAACAAGTTTTGTACTCCATTTTTTCAGGGTTACTTATGAATGATAATTTTGATCATTTGCCCATAATAATCATTGATGTTCACATATTTTGCTAGTTATTAATGTACATGAACCTCTTAATGATTTGCAATTATGGTCAATTGGCTTCTGATAATATAGGAATTATATTCACAATGCCCAAGATGGAATACCTATATGCTTGGCTTTTCCTCTATGCCAATGAAGGACTAAAATTGTTTCTTGTCTTTTACTCTACATTGTTTATCTCTGACTGCCCTGTAGATGCATAATTTGAATAGCCATTTTTTCCATTATCTTCAGGTATTCCTATTGGTGCATATACATGACGTGAAATTAAAAGACGGGCAGACAAGAAAGATTGAGAAGATGCAAATGGCTGTGGTAGAATCTGACTCAAAAGAATCGTGTGGCAGTCCTGAAGTTCACTTGGATAGAGGTGGGTCACCAAAGTTATCACCTAGTGGAAATGATGGTTCTGAGGTTAAAGTAGATTCAGATAATCATGAGAAGACGGTGGACCAAGAAATTGAAACAAACTTCATTGTTGAAGAGGAAGCTGTTAATCATGAAGACTTGAACATAGTTAGTGGAAATGCTCCTGAGAAGCCCAAAGCAGGAGCTCTTTGGGATGTCTTCCGCCGACAAGATGTACCTAAGCTGATTGAGTATATAGGTAGTCATTGGAAGGAATTTGGGAATACTGACGACGCCATAAGTGATTCTGTAAGTTTTATTGTTTTATCATTTTAGTTGATTTCTATATGAAGATTTTTCTGGTTGTATGTATTCACATAGCTAAAATCTACTTGTTTTTATGATCAGGTGCCCTGGCCCCTTTATACCGACGCTATATATTTGGACGGACATCATAAGATAAAGTTGAAAGAAGAATTTGGTAAGTGCAAGAGTTAGTTAGGGTTGAGATCTTGAATAGACATTTTAACAAAAACTTGAAGAATGAATTTGGTAAGTGCAATGGTTAATTATTGTTATGATGGCCTGGTTGAGTTTTCTGATGCCCAATAATGTAATGCCCTTTTTCCTGTCTGCATTATTGAGTTGACTTTTGTGATACTAACATCCAAGTAGAGTGATCAGAGTTTAATTTGACCATTCTATTTTTCATTGTTAGATGTTATCGCTTACAAATTTGCATGCTGTGGCATTGGTGGATGTCATACCAATTGAAAGAAAATTAATCTCCGATATTCTATGTAATCGCAAAATATGAGTATATGTGAATACCTGAGATAAAATGTTCCTTGGGTTCTTGAGGCATCAATGGCAAATTGGAAGCTAGGGTTTATGTGTGCTAAGGAGATAACACCAACCACTTTTCTTTAAGCCTGAACACGTGTAGCTAAATTGGTATCACGTATGAACTGAGGGTAGGGACATCTTCTTCTAATTTAAGCATAGTGCTAGTCCTAACTATGAGGATAGCCCAGACTCGACTATGTCCTCGTTAACAAAAAATAAGGTGAACAAATACCTTAGTAATTAGCTCTAGTCTGTGCAGTTGGTCACTGAATTTGATTTATGTATTGGACTCTTTAATATGTTTGCAAATCTGCATTCTTAATTAAAGGAAAGAAAAGTAGCTTAAATTAATAATTGGACATTTTTTTCAGGAGTAGAACCGTGGACATTCGAACAGCATCTGGGTGAAGCTGCCTTCATCCCCGCCGGATGTCCTGTCCAAGTTAGACATCTTCAGGTGAGTTGGGGATGTACAATACCTTTTGATAAGTACAATACCTTTTGATAAGCTAACCTATTTCTTCAAAGAGGGTTATTATATGTCATGGCGCCCACTAAGATGTTCATTACGTTTTTATGGTGGTTTTCACATGTTAATGAACCCGTCTTTCTTGTTTCTGCCTAAATAATTTTTGTTGGTTTCTCTTGAAAAGATTTCTGTTTTTATTTTACTTTTGGGTGCTTCTATAGATATTAATTACCATTTTCTTTGCATTGCATTAACCACCATGGCCTTTTCCAAAGTGTCCTTCAGAAATATTTTGTGTGAATCCCACTGCAGTAAATTATTTTTGGAAGCCTTGTTCCATAGTTTTAGGAGGAAAGTAATTATATTCCTCCTACAGGCTCTTTTAGTAATTTAATTATAAATGAAAAAAATTCCATTCTCCAATCATGTACAGATGCTGAATTGGTCCGTACTGATTCTAATTGTCTTCATTTTGAATATTCAGTCAACTGTTCAGTTAGGTCTTGATTTTCTTTCTCCTGAAAGTTTGGGTGAGGCTGTAAGATTGGCTGAAGAAATCCGTGGCCTTCCAAATGACCACGAGGCAAAGCTTCAAATATTGGAGGTCTGCGAAACAAAATTTTTCTCTATCCTTCCCCTTGTATCCCCAGGTCTGCTTTGCTGATATCATTCTATTTTGATGGAGTTATTGTCTATTGGCTGGTGCAGGTAGGTAAAATATCACTGTATGCAGCAAGTTCAGCCATTAAAGAAGTTCAGAAGTTGGTTCTAGATCCTAAGTAAGCACTTTGTTCTGATCTTAGTTTTTGCCCCCGTTTGGTACCTATTTTTTTCAAAATACATTTTTCTCTCTCTTTTTTTCAACCACACATTCTTTATTACAATAATATTATACGTAAATAAAAAACTTTTCCTTATTTTTCAACCACACAATTCCCATCAAGTTACTATTCTAAAATGCATTTTCACATAAAAATGGCTTTCAAACACCCATTTTACTTGTTATCCAATATGTAGAGAAGGAATTTGAATTGGTAGTATTCTCACTTACAATGAGTTTGTTTGGGAGACTGTTGAATATTCTCACTTACCATGCGTTTGTTTGGGAGACTTTTCTAAAGTGAAAAAATGATTTTTTTTGGAGAATTGGGGGGGTTGGGGGGGGAGGGGGTTTAAAAAGTAGGTAAAAATTATGGGTTCCATAGAATGCGTGGTTGAACTTTGCAGCAAGTTAGCTGTTGTCTCCAGATGGTATTGGGGACAGGAGGAAAGTTTACCATGGAAGCCATTTGCAAGATAACTTTGATTTTTCTATTAGAATTGTTTTTTTGCTATGCTACCATAAATGTTTTTAAGTTATTTCATAATTGCAAGGCGTAATAACATTTCATTTCATGATCATGTGATTATATTTCGTTTGTACTGATCCTGTATTAAAGATACATCATTTCTTTACTGATTACAATTCTTACCGCCTCTTATTTTGGGGACAAATCACGTGAATGAAACCATCATATCCAGATATTCTATATGTTGAGTTGATGCTTTGTGTTTTTGCTACAGACTCGGTCCAGAACTCGGTTTTGAGGATCCAAATTTAACTGCATTGGTTTCACAAAACTTGGAGAGCATGGTTAAAAGAAGGCAGATTACTTGCATCTAGGGAACCTTATGTACTTATGTTGGGTAGAATTATTTTGAAATTTTACCATATTATATATTTCCTTGTTAGTACAATGTTGTCCTTTATTAAACTTCCAAGGCATAGGTTTTAATGGCCTTTATGCAGTCCACGACGAGACGATTACTTGTAATTTGTGTATGGTTTTGCAGGCGAAAAATAGTCCATTTCAGTGCAAATTAGGTAAACATCATCTTTGAGCTGCCTGCAAGCAATTCACTGCACGAGTTGCTCGGTAACATTTTGTTAACCAAATACCCTTTTTAATCTATATAAATGAATGTTGTCTCTCTTAACAATTTGACATAGAACTTCAAACGTAGAATTGTGGAGAGAGACCTTTTCTTTTATTCGTCTGATTTCTTCTCGGGGGAGAATGATAGTATTCTAGGATATGTGATTGTCAACATAGTTGATCCTAAACATGTGAATATTCAACGCGATAATGTTTGAAATTACGAAATTTTGGATGTGAATAAAAAATAAAAATAAAAATGTCTACTTTAAGTTGAGACACAACCTCAGAGGTTGTTCAATCACTCCTTTTCAATTTCCCAACAATTCCGTTTCAACCACCCCAAACTACAAATTAAATAGTAAGTACACAACTTTTTCTTTTACTAAATAATACTTGAGCAAAGCAAACTTATTTGATAGGAAGGTCGGGTCCATGAATTTGTATTCTCCTAATTTGGTTACTTTGCAGATATTTATAAAGTTTTATGGTCGAAACACTTGGACTAAAAATTATTTTTGAAGGAATTGGGTCAATATAGCTTTCCTAGGAAACTTTCTACAAGAATTAGAAGAGAAAATGAAAAGTCCTAGCAAATGGATCCTTAAGATCGGTTACTCGATCAAATTCTGCAATCGTCTAGCCATCAATTCAAATTGACTGAAAATGACTCGTACTTTTCTTAAAAAATAATGCTGTCTAACATCAGTGTTGATAGAGTACAACTTAGTAACCATACTTGATAGATTCAATTAAATTAATCGTGTGACATTGTGTTTAAGTTAATCTATCATTTATTGTCATGAAATTATTATTAGACTAATGCTTGACACTAATAATGCTGAACTCTTGCTTAAAGCGTCCAATTGAATACTTAACGGATGAGTAGTTAACATCGATGAGACTCATTATTTAGTACAGTAATCAAATATTTCCACTTGAATTATTTACTAACAACGCACACCTATGATTACGAGGTGCCTGGCTGGCGACTAAGCCAAATGCAAATTACGTTGTCTCTTCCGTTGCCGCCCCTTACCTTCTGCCTCAACGATGGGCAGTAACATGTTTGGATGAGCAATTTTTATTTCTAAAATAAGTGACACATATTCTCAATATGATAGAAAAGATGGAAAATTAGTTCATTTTAGAACAAACTTTAAGCTTAGCCAAACATGCACTCGGCTGACCGAGGACAAATATACAACTCTGTTCTCTCTCCCTCTCTCTCTACAATTTATCTTTACCTTTTTCTTCCCATTCACACGTTGACCACTCCAGGCATTCGAATCCAAATCTAAAATTGTGTCAATTTTCTCCTCCTCTAAGCTTTTGAATCTCCTTTTCTATCTCTTTTGCATATTGTATCGTAAATAGTAATACTAGATCTCGAAATTGTTTGATATTCAGTTGAACTGAAAAGCACCGAAACACAAAAAGATGGCAGGACGTTACGATCGCAACCCTTTCGATGAAGAAGATGAAGTTAATCCATTTGCTGTAAGTCCAATCTCTCCCTCTCCCTCTCTCTAATATGCAGCGATTAGGCGTATAGTTTAAGGTCATGTGGAATTTAGCCTTTTAATTGCACGAAACTGGAGCCTTTATTGAAGTAATATCAGTTGATAAAGGAATTGTGAGGTATCCTGATTTGAGGTTTTCTTATATGATAGGTTGACTGAGGTTCAAGTGGGTTTTCTTCTTTGTTTAGTTTTGTAAATTTAGTTGATTCTGTGTTTTCTTGTAATTTCTCTTCGCGTTTCAAATTTTGGTATCCTTTTTTGGTTTTTATTGGTAGCTTATGTTTATATTTTTTTCTTATTGTAGAAGGTAGAACTTTATTTGAGATGTGTATTCTTGTTTTGAGTCATCATAAGTTTGCTGTGGGAAGAACCTCAGGTTTCGATATTAGCTGAGTACTTGTGTGTAGTGGAAAATCTGAAGGCCTTGATAGTGCTTTGACTAAGGGTTTGATCTTGTGCTGGTATAATAGTTTACGTCTAAATCAATTTATGGTTCATTTTCTAGTATTTGGCCGATGTGATGAAAATATCTAAAACTCTTGTTAAAAAACTGGAAGAATGAAAATTTTCCTCACCTTGTAGTGGCAAATAATGGAGGTTTGTAACAATTTTAGTGGCTGGTAGTGCCATGGGTGTTAGTGGTTATCACAGATCTAGCATTTATGGCTGATGACATGTTAAGTATGAACTCTTTGACAATTTTCATTGAGGATGGAGGAATAACATAGAGCTGGTTTATGACATTGTTTAGCAAAGTAACTCGATGACATTAGAGTGGAGCTTTATGGCTTTTAGCAAGTTGCTTGTGTGTTTATAGGATCTTAATGTACATTTGATATTTCTGCGTGAATTGGTAGATCTTTTTTCATTTGTATGTTTGTACAATTACGTGTGATTTTTGAAACAGGAAGCAGGGGCTAAGGGGAAGGCATCAGGGCAATCAAGGTTTGGTGGAGGTTCCTTTTTTACGTCGGTGAGTTAAAGACGGAAATTTTTTGGCTCCAAATGAGTGAATGAAAAACGATTACTGATTTTGTAAACCCCTAGGTGAAAAAAAGTTATACTGCAATTGTAGTTAGAAAAAAATGTTCCTGATGTAGTTGAGAACTACATAGCTAGAAGATATTAATCTGAATAAAATAGATCCACTGTGTTTGCAAAATACTTCTGCCACTTGGTTTGTTTATGGGGACTTTTTGAATAATTTGATTCTGTTATACCTTATAAAGTTTATGGTTTGTCTAGTTTGTATAGCTAAATTGTGGTTAATCTAAATTACGGTATAACTTCTGTCTGTTTTATTTAATTAGATTTCTTTCAAATTTGGTAACCCACCTTTTTTTGAATTTGTACATGCAATATTTTCGACATTTTTCAGAATACTGGGAGTGTTCCTCCTGCCACAAACTCAAGGCTTTCGCCTCTTCCTCCAGAACCTGCTGATTTCTACAATCCTACTGCCTCAGTTGATATTCCTCTTGATAGCGCTGTGGTACTCACATTTTTACATCTGTTTTTCATGTCATGCATAAGTGTACTACTAATGACAATAAATTTCATGTAGGATTTAAAAAAGAAAGAGAGAGAGCTGCAGGCAAAGGAAGCTGAATTGAGAAAGAGAGAACAGGTTGTTCATTGATGTGAATTCTTAAGCTTTGGATAGGATTTGCATGCATTACTACAGAGACACTAGTTTACCATGTCTCTACTTCTTCTTTTTGACACGACTTGCCATTACTTTTCCTTCTATTTATATATTGTGAACTGGTTTATTTATGTGAACTCTGCAATTTATATTGCCATAATGCTATTTCTGATTATTGCCTTCAAGAATGGTTAATCATGATCACAAGTAATCTCGATGCAACAATGGCATTTCAAATCGTTCTTTTCTTATTGCTTCCCTACCTATAGTCTTTCTAAGGAAAAATTGTTGAATTATGTTGTTAAGTTTTGGAAGGTGTACTCTTTTACTCGAACACTGGTAATTGCCACTTTACGAACAAGCATCCTTTGTATCTGAAAAATACATTTAAAACTCTGAGGGGTAGCTCAGTGGTCAAGCTTTGGGTTTGCTCCCCAATGGTCACCAGTTCAAATCCCATTAGAGCCATTGAGGTGAGTATCCGGTTGTAAACTTCAGAGTTCCGTGATATTAGTCGAGGTGCTCATATATATATAATCACTCATTAAGTTCTTCAAAATATATTGGTTTGAATCCCTAAAAAAATAAAAATAAAAATAAAAATAACCTGTTTACAGCTTCACATTGCCTTCTGTGTATTTTCTGCGGTTGCTCCTCCTGTGGTGTTCAGAGGAAAATCTCTGACGTAAGTTATTTAAATTTCTTCAAGCATAGTTATACCGGCGGGTTTCTACCACCTAAGTGGACTTTACATGCATGTTTGGTACATTGTAAAAGTATATAATGAACAAGATATGGACTTCTTTTTCTTCCTTAATAGCGTCCAATGCTATTTAATTGACCCTATCAGACATGCCATATGGCCATATGTAAATAATTATATTTGTGTCGTAATGCCTAAAAGACTATGCTTGTCAGAAAATGTAATTCATGCTTTAGATCTTACTCCCTCTAAAACTGGACACTTCACTCTGATATACTTATTAATTCCACTAATGATCTTTACTTTGTACAATATTTATTTATTTATTTTTTTTTTTGGAATAGGGGTATACTTCCTGCCGTAGATCTCATTGGCAAGCAAGTACTAGTCGGGGTACGTTTTGTTTGTTGGACTATATTTGAAATGCCTGTTTTGTTTACTGTTTCAGTTGTACACCATGTTATTGTCTTCAGTTTGGATAGAAGTGACTGGTTTGTGTTGTGCATTTCCACAGATAATTAATAGATGTCTGCAAAATTTGCTCGTTAGTATAATTATGTTTTTATTTTCTTTGTGCAGGTTTTCTATTTCATTGGCTTTGGACTCTTCTGCCTTGAGTCGGTGCTGAGCTTCTGGGTTATTCAGGTCCCATGTAGACTAATTTGTTCTCACATTTTAACTAGACTTATTCTTAGTTTTCTTTTCTATGGGGAGGGGAGTGGGTTAGGAACTCCCCTTTATCCTGTAAATTTGCTTACCCGCATGAGCAAGATTTGCATTTTGCTGACCGTGTTTTGCCATTATGCAGCAAGTTTACATGTACTTCCGAGGCAGTGGCAAAGCTGCAGAGATGAAGAGGGAGGCTGCTAGAGGAGCGATGAGAGCAGCAATTTAATGTCGTTCATACAGAACTTAATAATGAGTAACATGTCACGGATATGAGTCACCATTCCCATTCCAGGCACATCACTGAGTGGTGAAGATAGAAAAACTGGTTGATTGCATGTTAAATCCTCGTTCAGATCTAGAGCTTTCATGTTTATATTGTTTATCAGAGAAGACTCTGTGCAAAGGGGTTAGAAACAAGATTGGCAGTTTAGTTACTGTATTTTGGAACGATATAGCTTTTTGGGTATATAAATCAATTGTTTGACATTTGCTTTCATCTGTGACCCATTTGGTTTACTTGGAGGCTTCAGAAATTTTGCTTTTCATGTTCTTTTATTTTTGAAGTTATGAAATTTTGTTCTACTTCCAAAACTGTGCTGCTTCTGCATTTACTCTGCAATGGGTAAATTACAATAACTATAGTGTCAATGAGGTGATTAAATTTTAATATTATTCAATCGGATAAATGCAGTTAATTTGATTTCAATTGTCTTCGTCTAATTTCAGTTGAAAACGAGGATGTGATAGTTAATAAACGATGGTCATCACATGTCATCATTAGTAATTGACGTAGAATAAGTATTATTTTAGTGATAGTAAGTGCTGGAATTCGATGAAGTAACAAAAATGAAATCAAATTAAAGTGTAGTTACTCGATTGAACAAAAATGAAGTACAATTACCTAATTGTTACTAGAGGAAAAATATAGTTATCACGAAAGAAATCTCCCTTTGCAAGTGTTTGGCAACTATATTTATATATTCGCATAACATAAAAGTCGAAATTGTAAGTTTGTTTGTTTGTTTGGCATGTGATTTTGGTTTAGCAACTAATATATTATACACCAAACCTCGGGAGAATGTTTGGTACGATAAACTGAACTATATAAAATTGGACAAGACTTTTCTCGCTCATATCTCTTCTTTAATATCAAGTAAGTTCATTATCAGAACATATTTTCAATGATTTTGGAGACTTTACATCAATATGTAGTTCATTCTTAGATCTAAAAAAAGATTGAAAACAATAGTTACAATCAATATAGTCTTGATCTATTATTCCCTTATTTAGCCTATTTAATTGACCAATAATAAGTTATTTGCTTTTATGAAAGAAGCTTTTGAGTCTAAACAGAAAGGGAAAATTAGACCGCTAAATTACAAGATTGGACAAGACCCTTTTAACAAGAATAATGCCACGTAGCTTCACGAGGTTGTCATTTAATTTCACATTACATTGAACTTATTATCTAACGCTACATAGATTGAAATTGCAACCACAATGAGACTAAATAACATTATTCTTTAAAGAAGTCTCTTCTTCAATATTTAATAAGTTCAAAAAGATTGAAAACAGTTACTACTAATAATGATTATGTTAGTCTTGGAATATGATTCTCTTGTCTAGCCTATTTTTGTGCAATTGCATTGCTTTTATGAAATAAGGTTTTGAGTCTAAGCAAAGTGGAAAAATTCTAGTGAGATTCACAACCTTTCACACGGTGTGGTTAGGTCTTCAATTTTAGAAAATGTAGTTCAAGATTCCAGTCTATTTAAATCTAAGAATCTTGGTCCTTACATGACCAAGATATCAACATAGATGATAAAATCGCACATCACTTTCATGTAACTTAAGGTTGAAAGACAAATCTGGCAAACCAACATTTCTCTCTAACTTAACTACAAGGCACTTGCGATTTTAATCAAAGCTTTCCGGCACATAACGTAAGCTACTAATGTAATAGGATTGGAAATTACATAGATATATCAGTACTAAAAACCCTCTACATAGCTGCTGCTCAATATAGTTCACATATAGCTAATGAAGCAACAAAACTACAGTGACATCACATGCTATTTTTATTTTCTTTCTCAAGAACCATTACGAGCTAGATAGTACTGGCTAGCTCATTTCAACAGTAGGAAGTGCATTTCTTCTTGCAATCAATGGTGCACCCACCGCCACCTCCGCCGCCGCCGTATCCCTTGCCGGATCGGTGGTAAGAGCTGAAACACTTAGCCGGACATGTCAGTTTCTTCTTATAACATGGGCCCTTTTCTTTGCACACCACAGAAGACCTTATGATGCCACCTTTAGAATACCCTCCACTCGGACCCCCATAACCAGCTCCATACCCGCCACCAACTCCATTTCCCCATCCATTTCCAAACCCGGGTATGTTGAAGCCGCCTCCGGGTCCAAAGAATCCACCATCATTTCCACTAACTTTCTTGTCATTGTTGGAATTTGGTTTGGATGATCCAGTGGGTTCGGGTCGGGCTGCAAAGGAGAGAGTAACAGAGATGAGCAAGAAAGCTAAAAGGAAAGCGATTATAAATTTCATGTTTGAATTTGGTCTGAGAATGAGATATAGAGTGGGAGGAAATATTAAGTAGAAGTAGTGGGAAAATGGAAATAGACTAGTAGAGGGGATTTAATAGATGCAGAGAGGTGAGGAAAGTGGCTGGCAGTTGAGGGGCTTGCAATGCATTCATTTATTGCACATATGCGCAAAGTCTTCAAGGGATCAATGCATTCATTTATTGCACATATGCAAAGTCTTCAAGGGATCAGATGTTTGATACACCGACTTTAATGCCACGTACAAGATTTTAATTTCTTTACTTTAACACTGTTCAACAATATCGAATTTAGGCCTTATTTGGTACTCATTTTTTTGCTAATACATTTTTCTCTTTCTTCTTTTCAACCACACATTTTTTATAAAAATAATATTACACATAAATCAAAAACTTTTTCTTATTTTTTAATCACACATTTCCAATTAATTTACTATTCAAAAATACATTTTTACATAAAAAGTCTCTCAAACACCCCCTTAATTATCAAATGAATAGTTCTACTCAGGATTGGTCATAGGTAGAGCTGTCAATGGATTGAATTTTGATCTGAATCCGATGAAATTAATGGGAGATGAATTTAGGGTCTCAATCTGATAATTCGATTGAAATCCGAATCCGACAATCCGTTAATTAAATGGAGCAAATATGGATAGAGGTCGATCCGATCCGATTTATTATAATAATATAATATATTTTATAAATTATATCATAATCTAGTAAACATAATTTTTTCCATTTTGAAACTTATATTATGCTTTACACATAATTTTCAAATAATAAATAATATTAGATAATAGTATAATATTGTTAATTGAAATATTCGAAGAGATTTAATTTTTTTATTAATTAAAATAAGATAAAAATAACTATAATAATTTGTTTTCTAACATAAAAAACTAATAACTAATATGTTGAAAAATAATTTAGAGCCCGTCTGGTAGAGATTATTACTCCACAAGAATTGATTTTCCAGTTACATCACAATGGCCCACTGTCAGGCAACAACGTGCATGGCCTTGTAAAAATTTGCCAAAGTGACCATTTTGTCTTGGAGTTCATTATTTATCTTTCCTCATTTTGTCATGTAAATTGACCGAGAATTTTGTAGTCATTATGACATCCACTCAATTCCCAACCACAACAATGTGGTGCATGGGCCCACATAATTTGACTAAAAGCAAAAAAAAAAAAAAAAAAAAAAAAAAAAACCAAAATTTGACCAAAAGAAAAAAAAACATGAAAAAAATTAAAAAAAACCGAA